TGACTGGAACTTGGACACACTATCACTCCTACAGTAGATTCTTGCTCCCTCCAGGCAGCTCTGGTTTAGTGTGGCAGGGATCTGCACAGGGCATGAATAACAGTAGGTGAAGATCACTGGGGAAGTTTGGAAGGCTTCCTGCTATAGTCACTTACAAAGGATTTTACTTGGACTGTCTGGTAATTTTGGAAGTTATTGGACAAAAGCTCTCAAGCTATTAGCACAAACCTATCTTATTACAATGAAAAAAAAAAGCCACTGGGGTGATTGTACTATTTATACTCTAGTCAGAGGAGCCAAGTGTCTAACTTAAACTACTTAGTAAGTGAAGTAGGTGGTGCCAAGCTAGAAGTTTTTTGTGGGAGCCACAAACTGCACAATGCTTAGGATTTGGTGTCTTGTGATATCTTGTGTCTCTTGGGCCTGAACTCCTAGGAGGGGTCAATGTCTATACTGAACTGTGTTGTACTGACATGCTTATGGCCAGATTTGGGATCTGCTGTTCCTGGCAATGAAGGTAGGCAGTGCCTTTACTGCTCCCATTTCCTGTACCCCATGTCATCATCTAAGTTTTAGTGTCTGTAGGTGAAAAGATATGTTTATTAGCCTAAAAAGAAGGAAGAATTTTGCTGTGGGGATGATAAATGGCATTGGTAGGAAAGAAAGATTTGGACCATGGGAGGCACGGGGGCTGTTTGGGAGTCCAGAGGCCCACGATCTGCAGTGTGTTTGTATGTATCTGGTCATGTAGTTGAGGTGGAGGCAGGATCTTCCCCACCGTGGCACGAGCTCCCAGTGTGAGCCAGGAAGCCACAGCAGAGCTGCAGAACTGGCTGTGTGCATAAATGTTGCCAGATGGAGGAGTCCTCAGGAGGAAACCACACTGCTGATGATGGCCAGGTGTCTGTCCCTCATCCAATGGCACAGGGGCAGAGGCACAATGAAGAGACCCAAGGAGAAGAACATGGGGAGACTAGTGCCCGAGCACAGCCACCACAGGGGTCTCTGACATCTTGGGAGGAGACAGGTAGGGAGTCGTCAGTGGTGGCCAAAGCCTGGGGGTGAGCAGAAGAGGTTAGGTTGAGATTGAGAGGTTAGTATCTGACTCCTTACTCATCCCCACAGGATAGTGCAGCCTTGGGTAGTTTGGATTTACGAATACCCAGCCAGCAAGGTCAAGTTCCAGTTAGGAATCATGGTGACACAAGCATGTTCCTCCCCACATTTTATTCCAAAAGGAGTCACATCACTGTCCTATGTTACTATTTTATGGTCTTATGTCTTGAATACAGGACCCCAGGTTAAAGACTCTACTTAACTCCGGAAAAAAGAATGTTTGTTTGAATGAACTAAAATCTGTATAGCTGCAAACAGATCCCTCGAAATGGCAGCTTCCAAGGGGGATGCAAATTGAAGGCCTCTGGATTGTACAGGAGACATCTGGAAAGTACGGGCCTTGGATAGTTGGGACCCTTCGGTTGGCAACTGAGGGAGACTCTTCCCTCTTCGTCTCTGCAGATTTGGGATAACGTCGATATTACTGCTCTCCTGCAGGTGGCGCCACAACGTAGGATTTCAAGCAGCCGAAGGCTAAAGGTTTTTATCCTGTGCACTCTAGGAGACCCAGCCAAGGGGCAGCACTTAGGGGGAGAATTTTTGTCTATAGCACCACCAGGCCCTCGCGATTTATTTAACGAGCAAAACTGGCTATTATTAACATAAATAGCAGCTCTGTTCCTAGCTAATAAAATGGTGATAGCTAAGTGAAAGAAAACTTAAAATTTCTTTCTCCTATTAAATCTGATCTTTTTATTCATCCATGAGAGGTAAATCCATGCTTTTTTTTCCCAAATCTGCCAACAAATCACAATCCCTCTCCATCTCCTCCTGAGAAACAGGACACTATGAAGCGATGTGCCATTCACTTCTCCCTCCTGTGGCCATGGGGCCAGGTAGTGACCTGCCCAGTTTCACCATCAGGCTAGAGGAGCAGTGGATGACTCAGAGATGTCAGCAGGAAACAGCTGAAAGGACTTTGGCTTCGCTTTTTGCCCCTCGCCAGCTGGCAGGCCCTGGCAAAGGTGACAGATCTAGAGGCCTGGGACCTAATGCAGAAACATGCTTTGAACCATTAACATTGCCGCCTTTTCCACTATGTCTACTCACAGAGAAGAGTTGAGACAGCAGAGGACCTGCTCTTATGTGTACCATCGTGCAAAAATAAATGTTGCTCTGAAAACCGGTGGTTTAAGGTGTGTATTGCACTTGCCTTGGAGTTTCAAAGCACCAACAGGGCTGAATTCCCTTTGGATGTCACTACAACTCTAAGGGACAATGTGGCAGGTGAGAGATGGAGCCTCACTGGGAGCATATGGCCTGCTCCAGATGATAATGCTGATCAGGGCAGAGCCAGGAAGAAGAAACAGGTCTTCTGGTCTCCTGTGTAGTGATACTTCCATGCCATTCTTCAGACTTGGGGTGGAAGATCCAATGGGCTGTCGTCCAGCCCCAGGCTGGGGCAAACTTGGCCTATCTGCTCTTCCTGTCAAGGGTGTTGTGCTGTAGCTGCCCTTCAGGAATACCTTGCTCTGTGCTGTTCAGGCCAGAGAAAGGGGGGTGAGGAGGGGCCCTACTGAGCAGGAGAGAGAGCTGGTGGGTGGGACTCTTCACCTGCCTGATGTTGGTCCAGCTTTTTGTGTGCTTCCCTTCTGCCATTTGGCTCTGTGTTACTCTTCAGATACCACATGGCATTCATTTCCCTGAATGAAAATAAATGACACAACATGCTAGGCAGGAGATAAAGAATAATAAACACATTTTATTTGCCACCTCTGAAAAAGAGAGGTCTCTGACTTCTGGCTCATCCATCAGGATATGGGTGTGGTGCACTCAGCCATACACACACACACACACACACACACACACACACACACGCACACATGCACAAGCACACCTGCACACCCATGTTGCAAGGGGCAGAAAAGAATCATATGATGTTAAATATATGCTGGAATAACTGACTGAGAAGGGGGACAGAGCTACATTCACACCTTCTCCCCCTTTCAGCGTTTTAACGGCATGCACTGAAAGCCCAGTAGACAGCAGACATTTGTACAGATCCTCCCTTCTGTGTTCATTGAACCGTCTCCCTTAAGTATCCCTGGGGTTTTCCGTGGGACTCTGGGCACAGCCTATGATGGTCCCATATGGCTGTTTTAGACAGGCAACCCCTGGAAGCAGGACAAGGAGTGTGAGGCCTGCTTTATCCAGATGATGTGAGGGTCCTCTTTGATTTTGCAGCAGGTGCCTTACCAGCCGCATTCCAGTCTCTGTCCGGTATAGACAGACATCAGGCCCTGGGGCATCCTCAGTCCCGGAAGAATGTCCAAGAAGCAGCAGCACTGAGTTATCTTGTGTGTTTCTCTAGACTTCTGAAACTAACTTGATATTGTGTGCTTTATCTAGAATCTGGGATTCAGAGTTTCTGAGAAGAGAGCAGCCAGATCAATGTTTTAACTTAAGCTAATATGATAATCCTTGCTGCTTTCTGGGCCATGCAGTGCTCAGCAGAGAACCAGAGACTAATGGGGCTCCGCGCTGTCTCCTGGATACCCTTTAACCAAAGACTCGAACGTCTGCTTGCCTTCTGCTCTGGCTTGATTCATTTCCTCCTCATCAGAGAGAGTGAAGTTTCTATTAGTCCCACGGGGGTGAGCTCAGTCTGGCCCGCAGGTGCCACTGGCCTCAGGGCTATGGCTATCCTGAAGATTATTTTGAAGCCTCCCAGTTTACAAAACTTATTTCTACAGAAATACAGTCCCTATAGGAAGGTGTAGAAATGTATGCTGGTGCCAGTCATTTCTACCTAATACGAAGGCTCAGAAAAGGAACGGAAAGTGGGGAGGGGAGGTTGCTGGGTGGGAAGAAAAGTTAAGTTGAAGAAGAGACATGGTGGGTGGGGCAAAAATGGGGGGCTCTTCTAGCAGGTCATTCCTGGTGAATGCCCATCGGGCACTACTGTGGGAATGCCATGAGGGAGGTATGCAGACAGGTGAATAAACCAAGTAGCGCCCTGAGGTTTCCCTGACCAGTGGGGCACACTTGGTGGACTATGCACAGCTTTCCTAGAAGTGCCACCCCCTTGCTGTCTGCATGGATTTTCTCCTTGCCATGGCTATCTACACCAAAGCAACCTTGAGATTTCTTTCTTGGGGCTACTGAAACTACCCTGATGTTGGCGTTATCTGTCTGGGTTGTGGTCTGGGATCTAGGGTTTCAGAAAAGAGCACAGCCAGGTCAGCCTCCCCGTGCAGACATTACGGGTTGGCAGATCAGGTTACCCAGGGAGCTGCAGGGCACTTGGCCATTCCTGCTCTCCTGCGCAGACCTTCTGTCCTTGGTCCTGGGCATCTTAGGTTGCCCCGCAGGAGTGCAATCATGGGGGGGGGGGTCTGTGGTCCTTCTGATTAGGAATGTTTGTGTGTTTTGGCCTCAACGTGCCGGTGTCAGCTCTGAATACCTGAGGGTCCCTCCGACGACAGATCGTTCCCGCCCACGTCTTCTTCCCCGGCGGCTGAGTGCGCTTTACTCTAAGCACGCGCCTTGCATGCGCTCAAGTCACCATATATTCGTCCCTGTGCCCCACATTGGCACTGCCAGGGTGTCTGGAGGCAGCCAGAGGAGACCCAGGAGAGTGTGGGCCTATGTCCGCGCAGGGGAGAGTGGGCTAGTCGGCAGCGGCTGCGGGCGTGAGCTCGCGGGGAGCGCCCCCTGCCCCCTCTGCCGGTTGCTCTCCATCGGTCTAGATGCAGCCGCGAGCTCCGAGCCGGCGAGAGCGAGCCAGAGAGGGAGCGGCGGGCTGCGGGGAGAGGAGGGAAGGGGAGGAGGCGAGGGCGGGAGGAAGGGAAGAGGGGAGGGCGGGAGGAGGAGAGGAGGACCCAGAGAGCGCCAGGCAGCTGGAGTTTTTGCAGCGCTTGGCCGGGCTTCAATGCACAGCAGCAGCGAGCCGCGGCGGCAGCAGGCAGCCCGGGAGCTCCGGCGGCGGCCGAGCCAGCGGCGGCCCGGCTCCCTGCCCCCTGCAAACTTTGCGAGCAGCCCGCCAGGGGGGCCGGGGGCGCGCCAGGAAGGCCTGGCTTGGACCGCGGCCGTGTTCTTGGCCGCCGCAGCGCCCGCCGCCACCGCCGCAGCCCTGCGCCTCCCCGGGGAGCAGCCGGCGGCTCCCGCGGACCCCCAGCCCCGGCCCTTGGGCATTGCCCGAAGAGTCTCTCGGCAGGCGTGGGGGTGGTAGCGGCGAGGCGGGCCACGGGCTGCCTGGGGCCGGACGAAGCTGCCAGGGAGGCGCACAGAGGCGCAAAGAGCGCTCCCCGGCGGGTCCCCAACGCACTCGCCGCGCCCGGGCAGCGGCCCGGCCGGGCGAGCATGGGCGGCGCGGAGTGACGCCGCCGTGCCCGCTTGGCATCAAGGACATTCAGCCCGCGGGGGTGGGGACGAAAGGGGGCAGCCCCGCGTCGCCACTGCAGCCCCCGAGAGCCGCCGCCGCTGCTTGGGCTCCGGGCTGGGTTGAGGAAAGGGGTGCCTGGAATCGATCCACATTTCCGACCTTTTTGTTGGACATTACGCCCACCTTGGACACTGCAAGAGGAGCTGTCAATCCCCGCGGGCTCTGATTTGGCTCCCTTCGTTTTCCTCTGCTGCTCCCGGCTTCCCTGTGTCTCGGTGGAGTATTTGCGTTCGGGGCTGGGGCTGGAGGAGGCAGCCACACGCGCGCACACGCACACGTTCAGAGGAGGGCGAGAGGCAGCGGCACAGGCACCATCTGCAGTGTCAATGCGGCGCTCCCGCTAAAGGAGGGAAACGCGGCGATTTCAGGTAAGGAGCCAGCCAGCCTGGGCGCGGGGCCGGGAGGGCGGCAAGGGCAGCGCAGGTGGAGGTACCCGGGCCGGCCCTGGAGTCCTCGGCTGCCCCGAGCCAGCCGGTTACACACACACACACACACACACACACGCATACACACGCGCGTGTACAAATACACACAGACATATACTGTGCTCACGCACCTGCCCACGTCCCACCTGGACACCACCGTAGGTGCAGCGCGGCTGGAGCAGGGATTTCCCATGTTCTTTCTCCTGTCACACTCCTGGACTCAAGACTTCTGCCCAGGACTTTCAGGGTGGGAGTCAGTGGAAGAGCAGCCGTCCCTCCCACCAGGGCAAGCTGAGGGGGGATTTTCCCGTTTCCAGCCCCTTTCATTCCTAACTGGTGTTTTTAAAACGGGAAAGTCATGGGAGGTCTTCAGAGACCCGCCCAGTGTAACCACTCTTGCGTGGCCTTTGGATACCTTGAGATTTAAAGGGTAGGCACACTGACAGATGAGATTCGGACAGGATTTTGGAGCTTGTGGTGGCCCGGTGCGTGGGGAGGAGGCCACATAGGCGGATGGGGCTGCAGTTCCGTAGGGCGGTGCATGTGGAACAGACACTGCGTTTCCCCAGTAAGAGGCAGCACAAGCGCCCTTCTGAAGCATGGCTCAGCTTCGCAGGGAATGCGCCGAGATTTCAGGGAGGAAGGGGCTTAGGCATCGCAGTGCAGCGCGAGTGTAGCTGCTCTGGGAAGGTCAGGGGTCAGGCTCTCCTTAATAGACATGACCTTACTCACGTGGTCAGACCCTGGGACACAGCCAGCAGTCAGGGCTTGAAGACCCAGGATTCAGTCTCTTTCATCTAGTTACCCTTCCCTGTGTGCACCGAGCTGCTGTCCCCTGTGCCTCTGGCTAACACCTGTCCTGTGTCTTTTGAGAGTTGTGTCCAAGACAATGGGATAGGAGGGGGAAACACAGGATTGTAGTCCCCCTCCCAGGAATGTCCCCTCCCTCAGGAGCATGTCAAAAGTGTCCATTTTTGGGTCTGCCAGCATTCTCCAGAAACTGGCTTCTCCTGAGTCCAGAAGTGCTGTCCAGAAAACAGTGATTCAAGCTTCTGTTTCTCTAAATCATGTCCTTTCCTTCTCTCCTTGGAGGAGTTTCGCAGGGGGGTCATCTTCAAAGTTTTCCTGAAGGAGGTGAGAGGTGGGAAATTCCAAAGGGGCTTTTCATAGTCCCATTTTGGGGTCTAAGAGTAACTTATTCAAGTGCTCAGTTGTTGCAGAGAGAAAAATGGGAGACCCAATTAAAACATTATTTCAAGGTTGAGAATACGTATAGCAAGCTCCTATGTTTCCCTAGCTGTCCTTTTGAGGTTGCTTTTCAGCAACTTGACCAATAACTTGACCAATAAAGTGGGATAAGCTTGTACCTTTTATATAAGATCATGTGTTCAGAGTGTCCCACAATACACCTTTGGAAAAAGGACACTGGGAGTCCTCCGGAACAGGAGGGACAAGGAGCAAATATTCTTTTGAACAAGGAGGCTCCGTGTTGGGCACGGAATTTGGGTTGCTTATGTAAATCCAGAAAGATGAATGCAAAAATAGGGGGCTTTTCCTGTACCTCTAGATCTGCTATTTTCAAACTTTTTTCAGCTTTTGCAGTGGTTTCTGGCTAGGCTAGGGAGAAGAGCAGACGCCCCAGGAGGGAGATTGTGTTCCCGCTGTGTGCGGTGTGAGCTGCCCTTTGATTGATTGAAAAGGGTAGACAGAATAAAGCAGAAGCTCTCACAATGGGGAGATCCCAGGCAGGGGAAGAAACATTATTTTTTTTTTTTTTTTTTTTTTTTTTTTTAAGAATAGTGGACTCAAGCGGCCACAGTCACACACATCCATATGCACACGAATTCTCAGAATCTAAGCAAATGTGGTCAACGGGTCCAGCCATGTGTGACAGTGGGCTTCACTTCTGTTTTCTTGGCTGTGGAAAAACTGGCACATTTCTGCATGCGTACCCTCTGAGTGCGTAGACAGGGAGGTTCCACGTACGCGTATGGTGGCACATGGTTTGCAGCAGAAATAGTGAGCTCCTGCAAAGCGGGAGCCTCTCAGGTAAACATTCCCTCACTGCACCTGTGAGGGGCAAAAGGCTGGGGTGCAGCTCCTCTTCCTGAATTTATTGTGCATCTCTCCTGTATACCTCTGCCCTTCTCCCTCCCGTTTTCCTTCTCTTGTGTATTCATAACCTCAGTATCTTTCATTTTAATGTCAGACCAACAGTCATCCTGCTGGTGATAAGTTAAACACCAGGGATCAAAATTCCCCGCATTTTCTGCACTTAGCATTGGGTACCAAATTGGTTTCTAGGACAAGGCAGCTATTAATTAAAATCTGGGTGTAAAACTGGGTGTTTGTCTTTTGATTTCCTGCCTGGCTCTTTTGTCTGGCCCTGGAATATGCCACACTGTTATTCTCCCCCTGCCTCTCTTCTGTGGATTCCTTTTAAGTTTTCTCTCACTTGGGGAGGCAGTTGCGTGCAGAGGAAATGGCCCAGCACTGAACACTCTCTGGGCTCACTCTCATAGTGGCTAGACTGTCTTATTGTGGCTGTCTGGTGAACACAAGGAATGGATGGCCCAGAAACTCCTCCTTCCCGGCTCCCAAGACTTTATCCTGGGTGCACATGGACACTGCAAGCATCTGCAGAAGAATTTACCTGAAGCAGCCAACTTGTTCTGTTTCTCTTCTGTCTCGACTGCTGCAGCTCCTGTAAACAAGGAAGTCTTCCTGGCAGTCTGCTTGCCCTTGGCCTCTGAATCCTTCAAATTACAATGAGGGGTGCTGGGAATTAGGTGGGGGCTTTCTAGGATGGCAGCAGTCTTGAAGTGGGGACAGCTAGGGGGATGGGCTAGCAACTGCTCTTGGCTCATAGTTACCACCAAGCTTCCATGCAGATAAATTACAGGGAGTCTCCTCCTAGCCAGCTAGGGGGCATTTCATAGTTGCTGCTCCCTGTTCTCACTCAGAGAGAGCACTCCCTGCACAGACAGTACGCATAGAGACCTGTTGGAGTGGCTCTAGGACTGGCCTTGACGGGGCGACAGCAATGCTGCAAACCCAACCCCGATCTCTCTCCGCTGTGATTAATCTGTGCAACAGATGTGCCACCCTCGGCTTGCTTCTTTTTGTATCCCGTGCTACCAGATAGGGAACTGCTTCAGTTCCCAAGGTGCTGCAGAAGGTCTTTTTCTCTTGCTCGACATCCCCCTTTCTACTCCTCCAAGGCCCCTTTCTTCTTCCCTTTCATTTGTTAATCCACCTCTTGGCTTTGTGTCCGCATCCACCCGCCCATTCGCCCTCAAATTTGCGGCACTCCAAGAAATCAATATAACATGTATTTAATGACAGCTGGATGATTAAGTGTTATTTATATTTAAGAGTGGCATTTTAAAAAGATGTGGTGCTAATAAATCAAAGGGCTGTTTGGGAGGTGCACATGATTAGGGTAATTGCCCTATGGCTTTCTTTGAGTGACGCTTGGTCCACACAGAGCCTGGCAGACGCTGTCTCTTTAAAAGTCCCCGCTGTGCCCCAGCCCTCCCCAGAATGCTTTCCTGCACCCCTCTGCAGTCCCAACTTACTCTTCTGTGCCTGATTTTTGCAGTCTAGGCTGCAGCATCCTGGTTGTAGCAGGAAGGTGGAGCCAGCCAGAGACTGAAGGGGGCTCTGCTGCTAAGTGGTAAGAGATGGATCTTAAAAGGAAAGGCAGGCAGGGGGTCCTAATTCCTGATCAGAGGCCTTGTTCCTGAAGGAGGAGGCTGCTGCTCTGTTTGGTAGGAAGCAGCTTGGCAGAAAAGCTCTGGAGTCCTCCACAAGGACCTCATCCTCTGATCAGCACTCTCCCCAGGGAGAGGCTGTGCACACAGCATCAGTTTTAATCCTTATGGAAACAATGGATTGGAAGATAATACTAATAATAATAATGACAATGGTAGCCAGCATTTATGGAGTATTTGCCAGATAAGATACCCTTTAATTACTTTGCATGGGTTGGCTCATTTATTCCTCAGAACCACTCACCTGAGAAGCAGTTGTTATTGTATCCGTGGCTTCAATGGTGAAGCTGAAGTGAGACAGGCTAAGACCTTTCTCCAAGGTCACAAGGTGGCCAAGTGTTGGAGCCCAGTCTCAAACTGACCTGGCTCCTGTCACTGTGCTGCTTGCCTCCTTCGAGTACATGTGCTCAGCATGTTGTCCCCACCCGGTGAGGAGCGTGGCCCAGTGTGCTTGGGGCAGATTCAGCATACCTGGTGCAGGTCCTCCCTTGGGTTGCCTTTAACCCAGACAAATATATTTTATTTATTCTTGAACCTCAATCTCCCCATTCTTCAAAGGAGGATGAGTCTCATTCTTGGGATGTTGGCAAATTGTTAGTCGTGTGCATCTTCCTAGCGGAGTGCTCTGTCCCTGAAGGTGATTGTTCCTCACTTTGCAACTCCTAGTTTCTCCTGGGAAAAACTAAGGAGGAGCAAATGAGTGAAGACCTAGTCTTTGCTTTTGATTCTTAGAGGCTCCAACTGTGGTAGGAGTCTGGTTCTCCCTCGTGACGGCTTCAGATCGCTGGTTATGTGGAAATGACACTTTCTCATCAAGTGCTGAAAATAAGTCTGTAGGGTAGGTATTGTGGATTCCCATTTTGATGGCATAGGAACTTAGGCTGAGAAGAGAGTTTCAGGGAGAAGCCCCAGGCCCTAGGTTGCTAAGCAACAGATCCCTGCATTCTTAACATCGCACTGCTCACAGTAGTATGCTTCAAACTTGTTTTCTCATTCATTCACCAGCTCTAGGGGTTCCAGATTTTGGAATCCAGAGGAAGGGCAATGTTATGCTATGCTGGTATCTTGTACACTATGATAATTGAGGCAGATGGCTCGTTAAAAGTCAGTACCAATGGCCTGTGTAGGGGGAGTCATTGTGCAGCTCGCCATGGAATATTGACGGGTCCC